CAAAAGCAATGGGTCTGTCACCCTTTTCATCTATGTGGGATAAAACTGCTCCTACACCGTCTGGTGAAGCATCACATGTTAAGATAAGTCCTTTCCCTGGGTCATAGTGAGTTAGAAAGGTGTCAGAAGACAAAGCTTCTTTTGCTGCATTAAAAGCAGCATCTTGTTGTTTACCCCAGTGCCAAGTTGCATTTTTCTGCAGCAGCTTGTACAGTGGTGATAGTTTATCAGACAGATTTCCTATGAATTTCGCATAGTAATTTATCAAGCCCAAAAAAGTTCTTAGTTGTTGGGTATTTTCAGGTTTGGGTGCTTCTTTAATGGCTTTTGTTTTCTCAGGTTGATGTCTTGTTTTGCTTGTTTGCTCAAAATATAACCCAGAAAACTAATATCTGTCAGCATGAATTGACATTTATCTTTGTTTATCTTTAAACCCTTTTCACCAACTATTTTCAAGACTTTATCAAGTGTTTTAAGGTGTTCAGTGTCATTCTTACCAGTTATGTATACATTGTCAAAGTAAACACAAACATTTGGAATGTCCTGAAAAATACTGTCCATGACAGCCTGGAAAATTCCAGGGCTAGATGGTATACCAAAACATAGTCTTTCATATTGGTAGAGTCCCTTATGTGTGTTTATTGTCGTATAGACTTTTGAATCTGGATGCAGTTCTAATTGAGTGTACGCAGGACTAAAGTCTAATTCAGTGAATTTGTCTACTCCTGCTAAATTCAAAGAAATTTTCTCAATGTTAGGAATAGGGTACCTATTTAGCTCTATTTGCTTATTCAGTGTAGCTTTATAGTCTCCACACATTCTTACAGAACCATCCTTCTTTAACACTGGCACAATGGGCGTTGCCCAATCGGAATAGTCTACCTTCTTTATGATGCCATTAGATTCTAATCTACTTAGCTCATTTTCAATTTTATCCCTCATTGCATAAGGTGGAACTCTAGCTTTGCAGTATCTTGGATTTGTGTCTTTAATGCTTATCTTCACTGTCCTATCATTTAGTAACCCCGAGCTACCAAAGACACCTTCATTTTCAGATACATTTTTATCTATTGAAGTAAAACTAGATTCTCTTGCTTTGTTCACTGAAAATATACTCCCCCAGTCTAACTTAAGATCAACTAACCAGTTCCTACCTAGTAATGGGGGTCCGTTTCCTTCAACCACAAGAAGAGGAAGTTTAACACTTTGACCATTATAGCCTACATGAACTATATACTCTCCTATTACCGGAACATTGTCACCTGTGTATGTTGTTAGGTACTTGTGACATGGTTGTAGAGGCACTGATCCTCCTGTGACAGCGTCAAAGTCCTTCTTTGTGATGACGGTCAGAGATGCTCCCGTGTCAAGTTGGAAGATGATGCTCTTACCGTTGATACAAACTAGTACGTTGATGGGAGCATGACTTGTTGATTTCACAGAGAACAGGTTGAACTCCGGCTGCGGATCAGTTTGAGCATTTTCACTGGTGGAGTGGTTCATTGGTTGGGTTAGGTTGTCTTGGTGACAGTTAACATAGTGCTGCCTTTGGTTGCGGTACTGTCCTGACTGGCTAGATCTAGCAACAGACGAAGGCTTTGCAAAGCAGGCCTTGGCAATGTGACCTTGCTTACTGCACTTATAGCAAGTTGCTGACTTGAACTTGCATTGATGAGATGCATGGGGACCGTTGCATCGATGTCATTTTTTGATAATTATTACTAGATTTAGATCTAGGATTTGAACTTGCAGGCTTTTTAGCATATGTTGGACTGCTCTGATGGGGTTGGTGTTTATTGACTGACCTGCTGTCTACTGCATGGATCCCTGAGGGCGCCAGAGATCTGGCCGCATCGGATGACTGCTCGAGATCTGTCTCGAGAAGCAACTTTCTTTGAACATCAGGGCTGTTTACACCTGTCACAAACTTTTCACATAGTCTGTCGGACAGCGTGTCACCGAATTCACAGAATTCACTTAGATGACTTAAAGCAGCAACATATTCTGATATTGATTCGTTTGGTTGACGAGTCCTACCGTCAAATCTGGCTCTACACAGGAACTTTGGTGGTGCAGGCGCATGATGGTCTGTTAGGAGTTTGCTCAGCTCGTTAAAGCTTTTTGAAAACGTTGCTTTGAAAGCGTTTTTGCATATTATTATTATAAGGAGCTGCCCAGCTGCCAATATTGAAGATTCACAAACTTTTACATTCATTTCAATCATTTCAATCATTTCAATCATTTGCCTTCTTTATTAACGACTACATTTATATGCTTCTAATAAATATTCTTCTTTCCTAAAAAAATCTTTGATTTTACACAATAACACATTTTAGTTTAATTTTAGTTTGATATTACAAACAATAAGGTAGTTATTGTAAATTCAGAAAGCCAACTTTTTTTTTAAAATTCTGGTTCCTAGCAAGATAAAAACTAAAATTCAACTAGCAAAGTTAACCAAATTACTCAAATTTAGCATTATCATTAAAACTAGACACCAACATCTGGCGACCTTCCTCATCTTGTCAACAACTTGCAACAGGTTTGAAATTCTCTTATAAAAATGCACATATTTATTTCCGGTCGAGACATCGGAATTAATAAAGATGAGGTTCTAATGCGTTTTATGTGCCGTTTGTATTTCGTAACAGGGTGATGAGTGTATATATACAAAGAAAGGGCTCTATCTTTCAGTGGCAACTCAACAGTAGCACAAGGACAACTGAAAGAGTAAATACAGCAATATTCTTATCGTCTGCTTCACTTTAATCTTTATGGTAAACTGTAGTATTTCTTATCCATGATAGCGATGTATTTTTTAGTTTTAAAAAGTGTAAAATATTTAAAAAGAGATTACAAAATTAGTTAAAGATTTGAGTTAATTTTGGACGATTTATTTCAATAACTGTTTTCACATCTCCTCTGACGTTGGTAGTAGATTGAAGTTGTTGATTCAGCTTAACATATATAATACATATACATTATAACATGACATGAAACAGTTTGATTTTCATGAAATAATGTATCTTGTTGTAAAAGATATAATGCTGGTTATTTAACAGGTTTTCCAATGCATGTTATTTTTAACTTTTTACAATGTATGTAATTTTAAACATTCCAGGAGCAGGTAATTTTTAAAAGTTCACAAAATGTGTTACCAAAGAAAACATTTTATTTTGCATCAAAATATTAAAAGACGTCTTTTTATTTTTATAGATTTCATCACCTCATAGTGTCGTGCTATAAACTGTTTTATTGTAGTTATTCGCAAAGAAGAGTAAAAACAAAAACAAACAAAAATTAAGAAAAAAAAAACAAAATATTATCCACGTAGAAGGCGCACGCCAAGTATAGAATTCATTAAAATCATAAAATTTTAAATCACTTTTTAAAAAAAACAAAGAACTTTAGTCTAAACTACGATATTAGCCGAATTTCAAAGGATTTAAGAACGTTGTAGTTCGATATGAAATCCCTGTTATGTTTGTCACAGAGTAGGCTACATCAGTTTATATAATATAATATCAATCAAAAACATGTGACGTCTATAGGATATTAAAGAAAGCTAATATAGAGGAATCCAGTATTAAAGATATTTACTTTATACGAGAAAAATATACTTATATTTTAACGAATTTTGATTAACAAACTAAATCATTGGACAAAGATTAATGCCATATCTTTGAAGGCTACAACGTTATAATTTTAAAACAATTATTAACATGAGATAACTTTGTTACCCAGATGAATTGGCTTTTGGTGACCCAGTGCTTCCGTACATGCGCAGTCGTCTGGTATCACGTTTGACGCCGTCCAAGAAGATGGAGCCGTGTCTTTAAAATGTGCTGTGTCTGGTACCGGAACTCTCTACTCCGTCTCCAGCCTTGTGATTGAGAGAGAAACATCGGTAAGTCACATCTCGTTGCATTAGTGGACGTGCTAGTTTTAATCTGTCATTTTGAGTTGAATATTATGCTACTGCACAAGCTACTACATACCGTCCTTACCGCAAGATTATAAAAACTAACGCATTGCATTGTGGGAATCTCTCATTGGCATCAATATGGGCACAAGAAAACAGAGCCTATTAGAACACCCATCCTCCCCTGCGTAAATTGCATAGTGCCAACTCGCTGCTAAAAGCCGGACCCGGTCTAATTTTCAACTATTCTCTCTCTAAACTTACTTGAATTTTTAAGGGAAAACAATTTTTTTTTTCATTTTCATTTGCCGATTAATTTAATTATCTATACACAGCCTGTATATTTATTTGCTTTGTTTAGTAAAATCCACGATACGTTACTTAAGGCGAACAACTACCAGCTGTTACTGAAATACACGAAAGGCAGCCCCTCAGAGTTCAGCAAACTTCTGACGTCAAGAAGTGTCAAGATGGCCGCTACGAGTGGCGCACCATCCACAGTTCAGGTTACGGTTGGCGTAGCAGACGGCAATTTCAGATGTGTCGTCAATGGCCTGGCTAAATCAGGGGCAAGTACTCTGGTTGTTCTTTGAAGCCAAAAATATTTTAAACTGTTAAAAATATGTTTTAAATCTTTACTGATTTTTTTTCCATTTTAAAAATCGTTTATATATTAGTGAGATGACATTTGTATTAAAAATTTATAATATATTAAATAACTAGCGTACCCGTCCCGCGCGATGCCGCGGGAGTAAAAGAAAGTCTGACGACATATATAAGAAGGGTTTTATCCATGCGTTACCAATACTCTATTTTTTTACGCGTGACCTTGTTTTCTAAAAGTGAGTTATTTAAATGTAAACGATGCCTGCGCTTGGATCATAAATATTGGGACACGGTTTACCTACACTACTGCATGAAAACCTTGAGTATACGTTAATCACTCACTAAAATAATGAGGTAGAACACACTTCGGTGACCGCCCATGTGTCAGGCACGTAGAGGGGCGCTCTCTTTAGCCCCTTGATTACACTACCGCAGAGGCGCCGCGTAGGGCCCCTGGCTCCTTAAAACTAACATAGGCGCCATAGTGCTCACAGTACAACCCAGAGCGCCACATAGCATCCTGAAAGAATGATGCAAATTGCGTCATTCGCTAAAGTTACACAAATCAAGAGGGTTTTTTTCTTTGACACGTAGAAAAATAATTGAGGTGTTATAAACATCAGTGTGACTGATGATATTTTTAGCGTTACTAATGGTGTATTATTAGAAGCTCGATCTCAATTTTTTATTGGATAGTCTAAAAATAGATGCTGATTGCAACATTTGCAAAGTTACGAAACTGTTTGGATTTTTTTTTCACGGACAAAAGAAAACAACCCAATTAATAATCTAAACTTGGTTAATTTATCTGATTATTAAAAAATGTATTGCAGTGCCTTCAGCGGCCCATGTGAGCCTTTAGGGGCGAAATTGAAATTTTTGTCCGCAGCCAAATTGCACCCTACCATGGCCCCGGCGGACACGCCTGAATCAATATAGTGAGCGACTGTAACGCTACCATCTTATCCATTGTTTATAACACTGTTTAGAACAAACGTAATCGCTATAGATCTCATGGGAAAAACCAGGGTGCCAAATCGCATCCTGCCGGTGGCCGCTCGTGCGAAATTAAATAACACCACTTCAGAAACTATCTTGGTATTCATCAGTATTCATCAGCTCCCTAAAGTTTTATGGCACTCTGATAAACGGTGCCCAACCGCACCTGACTTTAAGTTGTTTTTTTTTATTTTGTCGAAAATAAAGAAAAATCGCACCCTCCCGAGGCACCGTCCTTGCAAAATTACAAAAGATTATATTACAGAAACCTCACCTCGAGTGTTTTAATCAACTCCCCAAAGTTTGATGGCGATCGGATGAACGTTGTGAAGCCGCAATCGAATTTTATTTTATATACCGTATATAGAGAAAAATCGCACCCTCCCGGGGCGCCGCCCTCGCAAAATTAAAAAAAAATTGTTTTTTTCAGAAACCTCATCTGCAGTGTGTTAATCAACTCCTCAAAGTTCGATGGCGATCGGATGAACCGTGTGAAACCGCAATCGACTTTTATTTTTATATACCATATATAGAGAAAAAACGAATCGCCCCCTGCCGGGGCGCCTCCCCTGCAATTTTGAATTTTTTTCGCAGAAATCTCCTCAGGTGTTTTTTCGGATGAAAGGTGTAGTAATGCATAAAAGACAGATAAACAGACACACACCCACAGGCATACATTGCTTTATATATATAGATAGATAAATATATTAACTTCTACAGGGTTCTGCGAAAGGAGAGGCGACTGTGACCGTCTCATCTCAACTCGAAAAAGATTACGGAGAATGCGGGTGCACTGACATGATCTCCACTCTCGAGAACAAATATGACAAGAAACTCAACGAGATTCAACAATCTGTCACCGCCACTACCAACAACTACAACATCGGCGGGGACGGGGGGCTGGGTGGTCTGGATGGGGACCAGCTGCTCAGGTAAACCACTATAGGCCACAGGTAACGCTGATAGGTCACAGGTACAACCTGAAGGTCACAAGTGAAAACTATTAGACCTCAGGTAACCAACTGTAGGCCCCAGGTACAGCTTGCTTTCTGACCTCAGGTAAACAATTATAGGCTACAGGTACAGCTTTTAAACCTCAGGTAAAGAATTGCAGGCTACAGGTACAGCTTTCAGACCTCAGGTAAACAATTGTAGGCTACAGGTACAGCTTTCAGACCTCAGGTAGCCAACTGTAAGCCTTAGATACAGCTTTCAGACCTCAGGTAAACAATTGCAGGCTACAGGTACAGCTTTCAGACCTCAGGTAAACAATTGTAGGCAACATGTACCCACTAAAACATAAACAATATAGAGTTCAACTGTTTAGGACGTGAAAACAATTTAGAGACGAGTTATTAATGTTTACCAGAAAGTGTGAAGTTACTTGCTTGAATCAACAGACGATGATTTCATTCACAAACACACTTTTTGTTTAAAGATGTTCACAGTTAATGGAAAGCTGATTGCGCGGTCTTTTTAAAAGTAAACTTTAATAAAGTTATCTTATACTTTTTCAACAAGAAATCTATGTCATTACTTTTTCTGTGTAAATGTGTGTGTAAATAATGTTAATAATCATTTCCTTGAGAGAGCCTTTGTGTCAAAGGTTACATTCATTCTTTTTTATTAACAGGAGCACTTTGGTGTCAAAGGTTACAATGTTTTAAGTTTTATAGGAGCACCTTCTGGGTCTAAGGTTGCATTTCTTTCTCTTCTACAAGTGCAATTTGGTGTCTAAAGTTACTATTTTTTTCTGTTTTACACGAGCACCTTGGTGTCTAATGTTACATTAATTTCTCTTCTCCAGGAGCACAGTCTGGCCCGAGGGATACTTTAGCCTCCTCCAACCGGAAACCGGCTGCCCTAGCATGGGCTTCTCATTTCTAGACTGGAAGACCGACGGGTACCGGCAGTTCCACACCGAGTCCACGTCCCCCCAGAACCAGGACAACATCACGGCCAACGCCCACTTGAAGAAACCCTACCAGCTGAAGACTGGCAGCAACAACTTCATCCTCCTCAGCTTCTGCACTATCGCTGGTGGACATCAGGGACCGAACTGGCCAACCGGCTCCTATTGTGTCATGATGTACGCCGGTGTCTGCCCGCCCGGGTTCCACGACGGCAGCATCTACTGGGATGAGGAGAACAATCAATACGGTGGGAGGTACGGTGGTTACATCCCGACGGCCGGATTTGGCGCCGATTCCAGAATCTACTACTGCTGCCGCCGAGACGGCAAGCCGGAGAAACCAATGTACCTGCCGACATCGAAGCCGTTTTACCTGTTCCGGTTCGGTGGGGTGTGTCAGCAGGTGGCCAACATGAAGCTGACCCCCGAGACCATCGTGTTTGACACGGAGGACACCGGTGGCAATAGCGACCAGTATTTCGGCGAGTACCACCCGGATGGTCAGCTCAACAACGTAGTTCTCGAACTCTGCTACTACACCAGATAAAAACATAAATATGTAGTTTACGTTAGAGTTTTCTTGTTAATTAACATGATTTGAATTCATTCAAATTAAATCACAGCAATAAATTAAATATTTACAAAAATAGTAAAATGTGTAAACGCTAAAAACTTCATTTGAAACTGAAAAGTTATTAAAGAAGCTTTGAAGATTTATTTCCTGTCTAATTGTTTTAAAACTATATGTTGTGGTCATTTTAAAACGTACTCTAGTACGGCTTATTGCTGACATTCACAGTATGGGGTAAGAGTGTAATTCAGACTTCGGTGACAATGTTTTACGTTAGAAAGCGCGATTATCTTTAAAAATGTGAAGTACACACATTGGCAATTTTTAAGAAAAGGGTACAATTTAAAATTTGAATTGTAAACGTAATTTAAATATTTAAATTGTAAAACAGTTTAAAGTAAAATGGAAATAATCTAGACCATAATTTGCTAAAATTTGAATATAAAAAATATTGATTAGCAATGTTGTCGGCAAAATCAACTGCGATGATTTAAATATAAAATATAATCATCTATATATAATTCTCTTCTGGGAGACGTTAGAAAACAAGCTGTAAGCGCGCCTTGCAGTCCCTTCTCTTCCTCTCTAGGAAGTCAGGTGAGCTGTGGTTCACGCTAAATGTTTACTGTCGTAGAGCCGGGTTTAGTGACGGCCAATAGGGGAAGATAATTTAGTTTGAAACGATTTTAAACTTAGGGGAGGTAGCTAAGAGGAGGCTGCTTTCACGGGGGGGGGGGGGGGTAAGGGGTTGGGGGAATAGTGGGTTATCGTCCTTAACGACTTACTGTTAGTGATTTAAAGCAACTATTTTCAGTGACAGTAATTATGAATTACTGAAAAGTAGAAAATAAAACAACTAAATAGCTGCGTATGGTACGCCGCGGGTCGGCTCGTTTGAATTAAACCTTTTCCTCGTGGCAGTTTTCCACGCAAAGGGGCACGACTCAATATATTTCTAGGTAAAAATCTCCCGTAACTGGTTCTCTCCCATTCTCGAAATTTAGAAGAAGAAAAAAATAACTCAGGATATAATGAAATTGTGCCATCATTTAAGAGAGGGGTCGGTGTCGGTTTTTATAACGATGTGTCATGATAGCAATAGGGAAAAGGGGGGAATGAAAATAGGTTTTTAAAAAAGGATGACGTCATTTATGGATGGAACTATATTAAATTTGGCACTAGCTACTTAAAAAAAACCAAAGGTAACTTGTTTTGTGGTGGTGTACTACACGCTCGGCTGTCTAGTCCAGGAAGTGAAGTACTCATATGAACCTGACGGTGCAATTGGGCAGGTGAAGTAGAGTTCACCTGTTTCATTGACCTCGGCATATGAAGGGATATTTTCTTTAACATGAGTCAGGTACCCATTCATTTGTCTCTCTTATATGACTAGTAACGGCGTTCTTTGACAAGATCATCCCCTAACACCACAGGTACCACGCCCTTTCATTGCTTATTTCATCGACACAATAGCCTGATTAAGAATTACAAGCAGTAATATTTTCACTTGGTATAACAGACTGTATTTTTGGTATTGTTTATTTATGTTATATTTAGCATGATCTTGTATGAAAGTAGAGTACCTGACTGTGTGAGCGACTAATAATGTTTTTCCATGCTTTTTGTTATATCGCTCACTGACGTTAGGGGAGAGAATGAAGGATATAAAAGGGGGAGCGTAAGGTGGACTAGAGAGTGCCTGTATAGAAGAATGTAAGCCGTCACCATGTCATTTTGTGGACTATTCGTGGATTATCTTTATTGTTATTATTCCTTAAGGATCTATCTTATTACTGTAAATAAAGTTGGAAAATGAAAGAGCTGTTCATCGTCTCTTTTGAAGAAAGAACACACAATAACAACGTATTGTCCCATTAACAAATACACGTTGTTACACTTGGTATGATTCACCTTGGTTTGTTTGTTTATGACGTCATAACATACTAAAATTTACAACCCCTTCCACCCGCTCGCTGCTATCTCTCTCTCTCCCTCTCCCCCTTTTGCTGCGTAAAACTGAAAGCTTGTCCCCGGGCGCCGGGAAGGGTCGCTACGCCTCTGCCCC